CACTGGTAGGATTACAAACAGGTCTCTGCCTTTGAGGAGAGGGGTTAATAAATACAGCTTAGCTATGTAGCTGAGCCACTCTGCTTGTCATCTAATGCGCTTCAACGTTCGCGACATGGTGTGCGATTTTCATACCCTGTCCCTCACTCCCTATGTACTTTGCCTCAGTTAGAACAAGTGGGAGAGTAAAGAAGAAAAGGGAGCATGCGTTGAACAGCGTTGATGCCGAAAAATGCGTAGAATTTGTAATCAGGGCACCAAATTTTGAGATTCTGTGGTCACCTGGATTTGGCTCTCCAATGCTGAAGGAGTGCGAGATCTGGACGCAAGCCATAATATTGGGTTGATGCATAATTATTGCGGCTTTTTTTACAACAAATTTTATTCTGCAAAACGACAAAAATATTTAACAAAAACATGTTTATTATTCCGAAGCGTACGCGAAATTTCTCCCTCTCCCCGTATCAAAATGACCCCCTTTCTTCCGCAACCACGACCATTCAACTTCCACCCAAACGATCCCCACTGTTTTGATCTTGTGACCTTTACCAGCTCCCAATGCGAACCTCCCCGAATTCGCAAAGCACCCTTTGGTACTTTATCAAAGGATTTTGACCCTGTGTCACAGGTGTAGGACGATGTGAGCCAGTCTGTTAAGAACCACTGGCTGGACCGCGGTCACTTCGCCTTTCGCGGGGTCACTGTGAAAATGAGCTATGACCAATACAGTATACCAATACCCAAATTATGTGGACACCTTAAAACCGATTCTCAGGGGTCAGCTAAAGACGTTTTCTGCCATGTAACCTTCACCTTCGTCGTGACCCGTAGCTGTACTCAAGAAGCATTTCGGAGGAGGCTCATCAATTGTCTGGGGTGGTTTCAAAAGGAGCGGAAATTGGAGTTTGGCTTGCCCAGCATGTCAGGTAGACAATTAGGATTATAATGAGGTGCTTGGATCTCGACTTATACCTTTTTCGAGAAGCCAGCGTCACAAAACACTTGTTTTGCAGCAAGCCCAAGGGGTCCCCTACACGTATTCCATTTGGAAACGCGAGGGTTTCGGGTGCTGGATTGGCTGGCGTATTCCTCAGACCACATCGTTATTGAAAACGTAGGGGGATAGTGGTTCACTGCTTCTGCGCCATTAAAGTAGTACCCAAGTGACCTAACAAGTTGCTGAAATTAGCTGCTTGGGAAGAGTTCGACGAAACAGGTATCGGGAGCCTGGTTCAGAACATGCCGAACAAAATGTTTGAACTTATCAGAATCTTTGGTAGGCCTACCAGTCTTTGATTCTAAAGATATTTCTGTTTTTCGGAAAGTGTCCACATACTTTTGATACAGGGAAAACAGGAGAAAGTTTTTCCATTACCCTAATTTCCGGTGTATAAGCCCGCGCCGATTTCACGTAAAACCACCCCGCTCGTGCAGTGTAACTTTGTACACCTTAGAAACCACCGCAAATTTGCCTATAGAGGTAAGTCGATGCCCTGATCACGAAAATGACTTTCATTTTTAGCGGTGGCGCCATCTGGCGCCAGTTGGCGCCACCTTGTCACGACCCTTGTTTTCGCCAAAATCGGTGTAAACTTCAGTATAGGGGTTATTTGGGACCCTGATTACGAATATGACATTCATTATAGGCGCTGGCGCTGTTTGACGCCTATTTTCTGCTCGTCTGCGCTCTCCAACCGAGACATGTGCACTAAACAACGTTAACGCCAAAAACGAATGTCATATTCGTAATCAGGGTCCCAAATAACCCCTATACTGAAGTTTACACCGATTTTGGCGAAAACAAGGGTCGTGACAAGGTGGCGCCAACTGGCGCCAGATGCCGCCACCGCTAAAAACGAATGTCGTTTTCGTGATCAGCATATCGAATTACCCCTATGGGCATGTTACGGTTGACTCTAGATGTACTCAAGTACACTGCACCAGTGGAGGTGTTTTTACATGATACTAGCGGGGGCTTATACACCGGAAAATTTAGGGTACTTGTGCTTGAACAATTTGAAGCTGCATGTAGAACAGTGAGAAATGAGAAAATCTAAGGTGTCCTTATCCGAGCAATCGAATGGTGGCGATCTCATGGTGCAGAAGTCAACAGTTTCTCAGAGAAGGAAGAATTTTAGGGTTCCACATACTTTGGTTACGCACTGTAGAGCCTCAGTATGCCACAAAAGCTTTGCAATCCGACTCTTCTTGCCACCGAGAACACTGAAAAACCGCCTCAACAAACACGTCCGCAGAGAAGGGTCCCATTATCTCAGGTCGAAGCATTGGTGAACTGAATATTAGCCTAGCAAGTAGCAGATTGAAACGTCGTTTCCAACAGCTTCCAGAGCTTCGCAATGGAGATTTCCTTTGCTTGCAGCCATACATCCCTTCGTTTCTGAGGAACATTGTCAGCGTTGTTTGTGAAGTCGTTTCAGCTGGAGGCGGCAACGTGTTCGTGGTGTCTCATCACGTTTCTTGCGCCACTTCTTCCGGATAAGGGTGCTTCTCATGGAATCCTGTCACCAGCGCTCTTCCCTTTCTATAAGGACGAATCGGAGGAGCAGATATTGCCAGTTCCAAAAGTGAGAGCTGAGCCCTTATGCTCGAGAGTTTCAGACTATTCAAGACATTTTTTGGTTAATCAATCGATTTCGTCGCAGATGCTAGAAGACAGTGGTCTCAATGAAAAAGATCGTGAACGCATTTTGGAGATGGTAATGGAGATCTCCGGAGCTCGTGGTACGGTGGAAAACGCAATGAAGGTGTTTGAATTTATAGAAGACTTCTCAAGAGTATTTTTTCCAAATAACAATGTTTGTTTCAGGTCTTGAATCACCTCAATTCATTTGGGTTAGGGACGAATTGTTGAGCGTAACTGAAAAGGTAGCTACAAAATTCAGAACTGCTCTTACTTCTATATTTCCTGAAACGAGTTTGGGCCAGCCAAAATATTCTGTTACCATAAGGCTTCGCTCATAAAATAACTATCTATCCCAAATCTTAATAGTAATGCAGCTCTATCTGTGCAGGTTGGCGAGAGTTTCGAGTGCTTGCGTGCCTCATTCAGTCATGACCAGGTGGTGGACCTGGAACAAAGAGGTTTCACCTTTATGGAGGTTGATCAAATGAGGAAACTCCATCGTGATCAAGGTGACGCAATACATTTTTAGAAACAGCTTCGCTGTTATGAATATTTGCTAATTGAAATTTAGGATTGAAGGAACCTGAACTGGAAGAGCAGATCGAGCTATACAGTCGTACGCCGAAACTCAAAAGGGAACAGGCACTTTGGAAGACCGTAGCTGATCTAGCCGGAACAAGCCATGTTAGTGTGCAGATCTATGTATGTGGTGGCGCTGGCGTTCACTGGAAAAGGGTCAACGTTAAATGGAGCTCTAGAGTGTGATCTAGGTGATCTCAACGGTGTCTGTACTGCTAGTTACAAATAAGAAGACCAAAACTGCAAGATGCACCTCTCGCGCAACTTGTAAGCTGTAAAAGTTGACAGAGAATGCATTTTCGGTATATGAGGTCCTCGCAGCCAAGGTCGCACTGAAAAGTGTAGAGTTCTCACTCTGTATGCAATAAATCGTGGGTTGGCTTACCCTTTTTTGCGCCAACTTTTGCAGATTGTGTTTTATTTGTGTTGGAGCTTCTTCCAGAAAAAAGGGAGCTAAAACGGATGCTTTTTTGGATATCTGAATTATCTGTACCTCTTCATATAGGGTTCTAACAAAATTGATGGAAGAAAGTTGGTGGCGTAAAACAAGCGCTAATCTCTAGTTTCTTATAATGCCAGTCCCTGAAAGTTTTGGTCGTTTGGTGTTTACGGTCAATCGGATCGTCTGAAAGGCAAGGTCCGACTTAGAAGCCTTCACAGGAACTTACTTTCGAGAACAGGCGAGGCACGTAGTCCGCCATTCCGAAGGTTGCGCCACCTTTGCATATCGCACCGCGTCGCAAAGATGCTAGGTGCTGAAGACTTCGACCAAATCCCACCATAGAGAATCAGGGCTCTCCTACTGTTCGATATCTCTTTTTCGCAATGTTGATCTACCACACTATCTCTATTTGGACAAGGGTGAACGGTCGAGGGATTCCTCGACCATGCTCTGTGCTGTGCGAGAGTAGTGCCGAGAGTGAACGTACGCGCGGAGAGCACAGACGGCTCGCGCATGGCGAGTGTGAATGTCCGCGCGGGAGAACGTAACTGATCAGGCGAAAATCCTCGACGTGCCGTTGAGGAATCCTCGACCGATATTCACCCTGATTTGGATTCTCTTCGCCCTCTTGTAGCCCATTCCGAATCGTTCTTCATATTTCGGAGTACTACAGCAATTTAATCCAGATTATTGCCTTGAAGGCAGTGATTACGATAGATTCAAGAAGGGTTTATAGGAGACTGGTGGTGCTCAGTGGTACGCCAGTAGCGAAAAAAGCGGAGAAATCCGTCAAAAAAAAACGCAAAACGGGACCCCCTTTTTGGCCGTTAGTTTTCACTCATGAACAGGTAACAGCTCAGAAAGCGGACGTATGAACGAGTTCAGCGCAACGCGTTTGGTGGCACCATGCCAAACCATGCTCCAGTCGAGTTGCTCCAGTTGTGCCGCTGCTCGTCCAAATCACCAACTAAACTAGTGGGCGGATCGCTTTTGGGGCGGAGTGCTTTCGAAGTCCTGCTCAGCAACCAGCGCACCTTCGTCGTGAAAGCGCTACACTTGCAGCCAAGTAACTTTGTGTGGTTTATATGCTTCAGCGATGCGCTCTCACTTTATCGTAATTGCTGCCTTTAACGATTCCGAACTACCAATAGGTTTTGCAACTAAAAATATATGAAAATGAAAATGCCACAGAAATGGCTTATGTGGCTTCATAGCCTGTTCGTGAACCAACCGAGCTGTTCTAATGCTAATGATTTCAGAGGCGCTTTCGTCGGCAGGATTCCAACATCAATGCGATCTCCGTTTTGCAGCCTACGGTGCTCAGTCCTTATCAATTCGCTCCAGTGATAGGATTCTCGGTACTGGGTCCCGTTGTGCTTTCGCCTAACATTTTCTCGCCACTGATCTTGAATGTTTCCATACTTGGGCCGTGGGTGATGTCGCCTTCGATCCCACTTCCCTTTATCGTTTCTCCTTATCTCCTCTCTCCCTACGTGCTCAGTCCTCTGGTGATGGCTCCGTTTATTTTGAATCCTTACGTTCTTTCTCCGAACGTCATTAATCCTTACGTTTTATCGCCGTTAATATTGAGTCCCCTCGTGCTTTGTCCTGACGTAATCTCTCCTATGACCCTAGGTGGCTCAGTATTGTCGCCAAGTGTCCTGTCACCGTCTGTTCTGTCCAAAAGTTATGTGATGGCGGCTGTGCTTTCGCCATCACTGTTGTCCTAGATGTACCATTTCATGAAAGTGCAATGTCTCATGTCAGAAAGTTCAACTGCAACCTATAAAGGGTCGCAGTTTTTTGTTGCAATATTACAGTATTTTCGTGATTTTTCATGACCATACAACCGTCAGTGTCTTGAATGAATCGCAAATGAACGCTCAACTTTCCTTGCACAACGCCAAAAGACGCTGAGGAAATATTTTGTTCTAGGAAATTCACGAAGCACAGCTCCTCAACATCCTATAGGTAACTATGGAGAAGGTGTCTCGGCTGTTGGTCGTGCTGCGCATGTTTGGATTTATAACTGGGTTCCGAGCCTGAGTGAACTGTCGGGTCACTTATCGCGCGAGCTTTGTTCAATTGAAGGTAAACACACATTAAAAACGTGCGCCGCTGACCGTTCCCCATACAGGGCCAGCGCTCGGCCTGGCTGAGTCGACTCATTTGACAGAAAAGCTCTACACCATTCCTCCTCTGACCGTGCTCTCCACGATGCTCATCAGCATTTGTGTGCTTTTGCTGTTACTTGACCAAGGTGAGCTCATTTTCATTTCCCATGGCTTTCTCCGCTGCATCTGAGGAAGGAGTTTGTCATCTGAGTATTCTTCCTTGAACCTTTTTCCTCTATGGAGCGACACAGAGTGGACGTTTCTGTTATATCTGCTGATTTTAAAATCAACTTTATCTTAACCGCAGATCTTCCATGAAAATAGATAACCTGGCGAAGCGATGAGGATGGGGCTTTGTTGTTTCTCCACTGCATGTGCCTTTCCAGAAACATTTGTCTAGCTGTATTCTCTTGAAAGAAGACCACAATGCGGTCTCGCTCAACCACAATATGATCTCGAATGTTCTGTTGTGGAAATATGTCAGGATAGGAGCATACGATAAACCATGGAAAAGGGAAGAAAGCTTTTGTAGGGCTCCCCCTACTTCTTATGTTAGCGCTCACCGTCGGGAGCACAATGGCATGCGTAGAATGGCATAAAGAAAGAGGGAGGGTATTATGCAGGGTGTCGTATGCTGGTCTTGAAACAAGCAGATTGGCAGCAGAAGGAAGGTAAGGGAAAATTTTCATGTAGGGTCAGATCTTGAGTACATGCCTAAAATCTACCGTCACAAGTCTAGATTTTCGGAAACATATGTAAGGGGTACCACAGTTGATACGTCTTTCCGTGATGCTTCATTCATGCGAATTCGTCTGTGATCAGCTATACCTCATGATTCTTAAACAGAATAGTTTCTGGAGACTTGT